CCTCCATAAAATCATTGTGCAAGCTCTTCTTCCCTACTCTCTCTTTAATTTTCGTTTGGTGGTTGCAAAGAGATGAAAATTTTTCAACTCCAATTCACCCCCTTTCTTGGAGTGCATTAAGCCAACATTATTGTCACCAAATTTACATATGACCAATTTTGTTTATTTGCAACAAACTTTTTTATTAGTTACAAATATTCACAGATTAATTATGATAACAAAATGTTGTTACATTTTGTGATTTTCTTTAGTAATAAATTGCATATAGTAACAAAATATATTTTTTATAAATCATAAATTTTGTCATAAGAAAAAATTAATATCTATGACATAAATTTATTGTTTGTAATTAATATTTTATAAATAACTAATAGTTATTTTATTGTGACGATTTCAACAATCACAAATTTAGGTAGTTTATATGACAAATTTTTTGTGATTGAATATAATTTTTGTGTTGAAATTATATATTATAATTTTAAAAATTAATATTAGTGACAGTTATCTCAAACTAGTCATAGATATAAAAGATATTAGTGACTAATTGAAATCAATCACAACTTTTAGTCACAACAACTTGTTTTCTTGTAGTGATGTAGCTAAACATAGATCTTTCCTTTTTCATATGTTGATAAGTCACCCAAATTTCAGTTGTTCTTAATCAATTATTATTATTATTATTATTATTATTATTTTATTTTTATTATGTCTTAATATCAAGATTATCTTTATCAATTTTTACATATTTTAAAACTAATCTCTTCTTGAATGATTTTAAGGATGCACTTCTTCACAAAAACATAGTGCATTCAAGAAAGTTAATTTATTTGGGTGTTGGTCCAACTGTCCAAGACTTAAACCTTGTAGTTGACCTATAAGATGATACGTGTTTACTCGTGCATCCAACCTATGCAGTTTTTTTTTTTTCTTTTTTTGTGTTGGATAATGAGTTATACAGTAGGGAACAACTCTCCCCTTCTCAAACTCCTCACCCATCCCAAAATTCAAACTTGAGATCTCCAACATGGAAATTCAAGTTTTTAACTACTAGGTTGTTCCTTAGAGGACCTCATGCAATTAATTGATTGATTATTATGAATAGTTAAATTATAAGAGTGATGTATTTTGTAATTTAGATTACATTGAACTAGAAAATAAGAACCATTGGATGTGAATAGTTCCCAATATCAATGGATTCACCTTTATCCAATAGTTTAAGTTGTACAAGAGTTTGAATTAGATGATACTTTTTTGAAATTACAAATGA